CTCATCCTTTTGTACTTGTTCACTTCTAGAGATTCTGCCTTCTTCCAAGCATATTTACTTTGTTTTCTTCCCTTTCCCCAGGATGTAAGAGATACAGAATACGTCATGTTTTGTATTTGAGAAGCTGGGTGAAATACTATCAGTAGAACACATCTGAAAACTTGATGAGTTAATGTGTCCTTGAGTAGCATAAGTTGCTTTGATTTAGAATGCAGTTTGCTGCTTTTCCTCCTGGGATTATTGAGCGGTTTTCAATTGCTGCAGTGATTGTTCTCTTTTGCCTAGTAATTTACTAACACTTCAGATTGCATACAGGCTTCCAGATTCTGAAATGAAAATGTCTTTAGAAGTCAAGAAGTATTTTTAGCTTGTCATCCTAAATTTTAATTAATCACTTCTGCCACCTTTTTCAGCATCAAAGGTTTGTAATGTGCCCTTGTAAACACCAGGTAACAAACACGTCAAACAATTAAGGTTCCTCATGCCTCACATTGAAGACAGGCTTTTGTTAAGGCTCTTAATTTTTTTTTGTAACAATCTTGGTACAAAAGACACAGACAAATTTTTCACCACTCCTTTGCATCTGAAATTTTCATTCTTACCAATACTGATGCTTGGAATTTTCTTTTTAACTTACCCTCAAAGTCCTGGCTTGAATGAAAAAAACAGGAGTGTGTAATAAATCACTGAAAAATCAGGAAATGGCATCTAATGAAGTCACACCACAATTAAGTTTTAAAAATAGTAATTCTATAGTATATGATTTTAAAATTTTATTAAGTTTAGTAAGAAAAGTTTAGAGAAGAGCAGTTCAGGTGCAAGTAGTTTTTACCACAGTATAATCATTTGCAAACCCACAATACAACACAATTTGGTTGTCACCTTGGTGTCCTTCAGAACACAATTTACATGTTGATATGTGCTGATGGGTGGATAAGATAACAAAACCACTGTCGACACAGGCATCCTTTCTCCAGGGTAAACTTTTCCATCTGGACATTCGGTGCTGACCAAATTTAGGAGGAGCTGAAGGCAGGAGCTGCAGCAGAATTGTCAAGCAGTGTTGTCCAGGGGAGCAGCAACTCTGACTGTGACAGGGATCAGCACCACCGTGGGAAGTCCTGTGTCCTCTTGGTCCTCTGGTTTTTCAGTAACGAGTTGTTCAAAGCATCACCACTAATTTACAAATGGAAAAGACACGTCAGGTTTCTACAGGTGCTGGGGTATGGAAAGGAGTAACCAAGGGGACAGGCATGGAGTTATCAGGGGGCAGGAGGTGAGGGACAGGAGAGACGTCCTTTGGGGTTTCATGTGAGGTGGAGGGAGGAGAATGAGCTGTGGGTTGTCCCCGTGCCTTGGAGAGAGTGCTGCCTGTGTCAGTGTGACTTTCACTCCATGAACAGCAGATGGCCTGGACAGTCCAAGGGGAGCATCATTTTGCTGCGAGGAAGTTCGGTTTTAGGAGTGACTGTGTTGGTGAAGGCTCTTCCTCAGTGGTCTTAAAAGTAGTGTTTCTGTCACAGGGCATGTATCATTTGTGTTGAGGGTTTTTTTGTTGGTTGGTTGGTTTTTTGGTGTGTTTGTTTGTTATGGTTTTTGTTGGTGGGAATTTGTTTGTTTGATTGATTTTTTTTTTTTTTTTTAAACCACAATAATGCTTGTTTTTCCCCTTGGAAGGCATGTCCCCTTCAGAGCTTTTGCTGTCTTATTTTGAATTTGCCATCATTTGGGCAGTTTTACAAGGGCAGAGTTGCAGTGTGAGCTGCTGTCAGGGGGAGCCCACAGCCACAATTAGTGTGCTCTGGTACTGGACTTCTTTCACTCAGGGTCTTAATCTTGCTTCAGTCTTGTTTCTGGAGCAGAGGTGTCCATCAGCTCATTCCTTAGTCTTTCCTTTTCATCTTAGGAAGGAACTGATTAGCCCCAGGTGCAAGTCAGAGGAGTGATACACAACAATATTTTTGATAAACCCTAATCTCATTGTTCTTTCCTTGAGTGGCAGTCATGCCTTCATACCTGTGCAAGGTATTTTTTCCTCCTCCTTTTTTTCCCTCCAGCTTTACCTTGGAGAACTCAGCCAAAGATCTTTTTATTCAAATGAAGACTTAACATTTTGCTTGTGTCACCTGAATACTGAAAAGACACCTTAAAATGAAATTACTTCCTCTATTTTATGTCAAAATACAGAATGTTCATCTTATCTTCTATGAGTCCAGGGATTTTCAGAATAAACAACAACAAAATTGTCCAGCTGAACCATGGCCTGAACTTGAAACACAAGTGCCTGCCTGCTAATCCAACAGACATAATGAATGATGATGATGAAGGCAGTTGATGTAAATATGTGGTATAATTCTTAAATATTTACTGTTACCACTTCAAGAAACTACTGTGTATGCAGAAGGGTGTTTTTCACCTGTATTGTACTGTTGTATGTGGAAGCTGCACTGTTTAGTATTGAATGGCAGTGCTAAAATTATATATGTCTCTATATAATTATATATATGGGCCCACTCACATACAACATTTAATGGATAATGTAATAGTGCCTCACAGATACCATCTTATTTTCTCATAGTAAATCAGTTTTTTTACATGAACAATGTTAATTTAAAAAAAATAATTCAAAGATGACTTAGAGATTCTTTTCAGAGGCATGTTGTGATATTTTTCTTACATTTTGCTTGTTCTAGAGCTGACTGCTTCTGGATAAATGAAGTGATAGTTTATACTGATGCTTGAGTGCAAAATGTGTGTCTGAGGGGGTGAAGGATTTGGATGATTTCAGAAGTAGCTTCAGAAAACAAATGTCTTCTATAATTTACCTTTAATTGCCACCTAGTTGAGTCCTACTGTAGTAGCCCCCCTAAGTTTGTTTAAATTTATGTATTTTCTTGGTCTAACTAAGTGTTTAGAGCCTGTCTATCACCATAGTTACTGCAAACCTCTAAGTTTAAATTCTGCAACCATATCACCACAAGTCTTGCTCAAAAGGGGTCTGAGTTATGGCACTTTAAAAGTAGGGAGGACTGTAATATTCTCTCCCTTTAACTTAAATCCCCACACAATGAGATTAAATCCCGTGCTTTTCTGCACTTGTGTCTTTATTGTAATTTTATATGTAGCAGCTTTATGAAATGCAAATAACTTGTTACATAATATGCAGTACTGAACAGTGTGATTTCTCTTTAAATATACTTTTTTTTTTTAAATAGACTACTTCACTCTATAAACAGAGCACATTTGTGTGTAATCTTGCTGCACTTTTCACTGTGCTGTAGGTTATTTTCAGCTGCACTATGTTGTTATAAAAGTTTTTATCTTTCACTGCTATGGAGAATCCTATGGACCTGATTAAAAGGTTTTTTCATGGCATTCAGGTGTAAGTGATACGCACTGTCAAAACCCCACAGTTTTATAAGATTGTCCTTTTACTGATTTATTAATCCTTGTCTGTGCCCTGGAGTTTTTTTATTTCTGAAATTTAGTGGATCTGAACTTCCTTATTTAAAGCCTGTTAAATGTGAATGCTGCTTCTTATTTGGCCTTGTTTCTGTTGTGTCTGTCTGCAATCCCGCAGTGCTGGTGGTTTTTGCATGGAAGGTGTTTTGTATATGTGTAATAATGTTTAGCAAATTAATACCACGCAGAAATGAATAGTTTTATCTTTATGGAATGACCTCTTAGCTACTCACATTATCCAAAAAGGAGCCGAGCATGTCAGTGTTCTCAGAGACAGCTGCGTTTTTGTAAAGGTGATGTCCCCAGGAAAGAAGGGTGTTTGTTGACATCACTTCAGGTTTCTTACTGTTGTAAACGTGCTAAAGGCATGTGAGAATGCAGATCACATAGATTATACACCTTGCTGGCTGACTGGAGCAAGCTGGGCATTTGCTGACCGTAGACAGGAATCTCTGCCATGTGTGTTTGTGCTTGGTTCCCTCTTCACAGGTGGAAGAGTGGTTGAGCAGTTCTGGGGAGTGAGGAGAAGTGAGAGATCTGGTTTAGCTGGAAGAGCTCCTGAATAACATCAAACCCAATAACCAGATGTTTTTATGTGTGGGCAGGTCCCTCACTGGTCCCACTGCCTGTGAAACATCTGGATTACTAATGGTTGCATGTAGGGCACCTGGGAGAATTACAGATGTGTGTTTAGGTAGACTGTTGTCTCACCTATTTTTACCTGAGTTGGAAGAATTCATTTTGCTACCCAGCTGTAAGTTGGTATGCAAGCTATGCAAAATAAGGTTGTAAATAAGCAACCTTGTGAAATGGGATTTAAGGCAGGTGACTGGGGGTTCTGCCCTCCTCACTAGATAATACTATTAATAGTACATTCTGAAAGAAGCATAAACTTCTCTGAAATCTTGTGTTCTGTGGAACACACCTTGGGCAAGACCCTTCATGCAAGAAACGCTATCAAAGAATATGACAATTTTTGTGTGAATAACATTTTCTTGTGAAAACAAAAAGTTGTTGCAATGACAGTTATAGGTGAGATTTCCTGAAAGAAGGGCAAAAAAGTTTTGGGAGTGTGATGATTGAGAAAGGTATTTGTTCTTATGGAAAGGGGAGGAATAAGATACAGCCAGGTGCAGTTTTATGTGAAAAAATGCAAGAAGGAGCTACAGACACTCCATTGTATTTCTATTATTATACTTGACTGTAGGAGCTGTTTAAGGAATTGTATTTTGTTGTCTTGTATGTGAAAGCTTAAGAACAATAACAATAAATATCATGAAAGCTATTACCTTGATACACAGGGCAATATTTTCAGGATAGTTTCAACTTCAATCTCTATTTCATGACTAAAACTTAAAAAACATCTTCCTTGGGCTGACAGTGCTTTGGGCTGAGTATAAAAAAGTCTTCTGGTGGCTGTTTTTTTCTTTTGCTGTGTGGGTTGTTGGGTTTGTGTTGGGTTTTTTTCCTTAATTTTATATATCTGTTTTATTTAAGAGTTTCTGAACTTCTTTTTTTCCCCCTGTTCTAATTTGCAGCATTACTTTACTGTTCTCTTTGGCCATGAAGGGCAGAAGCCGCTGGAGCTCCGTTGTGAGGATGAAGTTGATGGAGATGAGTGGGTAGAAGCTATTCACCAAGCGAGGTATGAAACTCAATTTGTAATCCTCCGCTTCCTTTTTATTGCAAATAAATTGATACTAATTTCAAAAACCTAAGTCCACTCTCCAAACGGAAATAAATTTTACAATGCATTAGTTGTGTATTATTTGCAATTCATGGGGGGATTATAGGAAAACCCACATTTATAATTCATGTTTATTTCATTGTCTTCTACCTTTTATAAGTGATTGTGCTCCAGTTGATTCCAGTTGATTTCAGGAAGAATACTATTTTATTAGAAACAAGCCCTAGGATTAGCCTTTTGTTAGAGATAAATGTGTCATATGAATGAAAAAATTAATGATATGCCAAATGAATGAGTGTTTCTTTAAAAACCCTGATAGGGAAATAAATGTAAGAAAGAAGAAGTAAACCATTATGATGCTGAAGGCCAACAAATGGAATTTTGACTTCAAAACTGAAGTCCTGAATCACCTGAATCACGTTCTTGTAAAAAAGGATGTGGTAGGGCTTCCAGCCATGCAGTGATGTTTGCCTGAGGAAACGTCTGTGTGGCAAATGGTCAAGGTTTACAGTATAATCTAAATGAAAATCATCTAATGAAGGTATGTGGAATGGTTTGCAGAGGCACTTTTTCCAGCCTCCCCCCATCGACAGTCACCTCAGCTAATCTGCAGTGCCATGGCAACGCAAAAGGAACCAGGCAGCTTCTGAATTGCTCAGGACAGGAGCCATGTAAACAGAACTGATTTCACTTTATATTCATTAAAAATTAACACAAGCAGGTAGTAGATTTTAATTTAGAGCTTGTGAAATGAGATCCTGGAGCCACAGGTCTTGTGTCACCTGGTCATCCAGCCTTTAGATCTGCATCCTCTTCTTGGTGCTGGTACCTGACTGAATGGGTCACTGTCCTCTTCCAGGAGAGCACCTGCTGGGTTGTGGTAACAGGTGAACCACTTTCTGCATGGTATCCGTCTTGGTGAACACATTATTTCAGGTCCTGAGCGGCTCTGAGGCTTGGAACTTGGCACATCTCAGGAGAGCATGTCTGTCTAGCTGAGGGAGAAGAAGAGGAAGACCCACCTTGTCCTTGGATCTGGGTCAGTTTGTTTTGTGGACTGTGGCTGACAGCACATGAAGAAAGAAGCATGGCTTTTTGTCTTCTGTTAATGGCATTGAAGAGAAGCAGGATCCCGCAGTTCCCTCTTTGCTGGATGAGTTTATACTTGCTGCAAACCCTCTGCAACTCCCTGACAGGAGGGTGGAGCCAGTGGGTGTTGAACTCTGCTCCCAGGCAACAAGGAAAACGGCCTCAAACTGTGCCAGGAGAGTTTTAGGTTGGACATCAGGAGGAATTTCTTGCTGGAAAGGTGGTCAGGCATTGGAAGGGGCTGCCCAGGGAGGTATTGGAGTCTCCATCCCTGGAGGTGTCCGATGAACGACTGGACGTGGCACTCAGTGCTCTGGGCTGGGTGACAAGCTGGGGGTCGGTCACAGGTTGAACTCCTTGGAGATTTTTTCCAACCCAAATGATCTGTGATTTCTGTGATTCTTTTCTGTTGCCTGATGTAAAAGATACATAAGCAAGAAGAGCTTCGTAACACTGGGTTAAGATTTTTCTCCTGGTACTTCAGTCCATAAATGTGTCACACATGAATTTTCAAGGCATAACCTGGCAGAAGATCAAGCCAATGTTAAAACAACACATGGGTGAAAATATTGAGAACTTGAAGTAGCTAAGAAATACTTAGTTGTGATGTTCAAGGTGAGGGTGGTTGAATTTTAGCTCCATCAGAAAGCTGTAACTGCAGGACAAATGGGTCTTTGAGGTAACTAAGATCAGTCTTTTTTATCTCTATCCCTTTTGCTATTTGACTGTTTCCCCTTTATTTGTACATACCCGAAATAACCATCCTAATGATATTGAGCTATGTGAACCCCCGAGAGGCACATTTTCATGGCTCTGTGTCATTTGGGGGATCTTAATCAACTTTTCTGCAGAGGTCTCTCATTTTCTTGGGGAAATTTTCCAGGGACATGGATATGGCTTGTCTTGTTCTAGTACAGTACTAGAACAAGAAGAGCAAAATATCAACAAGTGACAAAAAAATTCTTAAATTTAGCTGCTAGAAATGGAGACTCCCACTACTATGTTTACCTCTTTGCTCTAATGATTTTCTACTTCACTGGAATACACTTTTATTTGCTTAATATTGTGTGTAGCAGAACAAACTGGACTTGTTCAATCAGTTACTAAACCATTGGGTCTTTTTCACATAAATAAAGAAGCTAAACTAAAAGTTTTAGACTACTGTGTAAGTTGGGGTTTTTTTTCCAGTTTAATTAAACAAAACAGAACATATTTTCTTCAGGGACTAAATTTTGCCTGCATCATGATGTAGACCTTTTCCCTTGAGTTTATCTGTATTTTTGACAAATGGAATAAGTTTTGGCAACTTCTTCAGTGTCCCAGTTCATTTGAGCCCAGCCTAAGACATTTCTGACCCTTCTCTCAGGTCTTTGTTTTCAATTGCTGAATGACATTTTATGTAGCCCTTGAAAGGTACCAGTTTGTAGTATCTCAGGTTAAAAATTATTTAGAAATTCTAGGAGGCATTGAGAAGATTCCCACTATCCTTAAATTGAAAACAGGCCTGGGAGCATCCTGTTCTGTGTGAATATGTCAGGATTTGAGAAAGAGAAATATTTAATTGCTTTCCAGAGGGTCTTGTCCTCTGAGTAGTGCTGAGACAAAGTAGTTGAGGTTTTTTCTTTGCCTAGTTTGACATACAGAAAATCTAATTTTGTACTACTTTTCATGATTTTTTGGCCTAATACATCTTTGAAGCCATCAAAATTTATTCCATGTTTTATTTACTTCGCAAGTTATAAACAGACTGTTGCTAAAAGGATGCTACAATCTCAGTGCACGCTATATTCCACTCTGGATGAACAGGTGTTTTGTTTGGATGCAAGTACACAATTAAAGTATTTTCTGCCATGACGTTGTCCATCCAGTCTGTCCTTAGTGCCCTCTCCTCGTTTGGGAGAGATTATTGGCTTCTGAGTTGGAAATGGGATATTCAATCCAGTATATTTTAATATGACCCCATTGTCAGTTCCACATCCATCCTTACTTTTCATCTCTTTCCATTTTATTTGAATTTTCAGTATTTTTGTTTCTCAGTAATATCCAGAGTGGCAGAGTATGGTTTGCTTCTTCTGAGTTACATTTCTGGGCTGGAGGATTTATTCCTGCCAAGTTGTAATTCCTCTGTCAGTGACCGCATCTGGAAGTCCTGGTTTTGGCTTTGTTCCAGAACTTGTTCTCTTATGAAAAATTCTGTTTTACTCTGAATACACTGAGGTATACTTTTTACTTGCTCTTATAAACTCTGCTATGTTTTGAGGGGATTTTTTTATGCCTTTTTTTTTTTCTGTATGGATGCAGTATTCATTAAATTTTTTAGCCTTTTCTACCTTATGTTATTTAAAAGTCTTAAATTTACCAGGTATGGGAGTGAACACCCTTCTTTGAACATAAGTGCAGACTTAATTGGGAAACTGATTTGAAAATGAATTATGGTTTGGGTTTTTTGCCAGCTTAGTTTTAATCCATCTCACTCCTTCAGGTCTGTTCACTGCATATCCACACAACACACCCCTGTTCACTGCACAGGTGATGTGGGAGAGCACAGGTGCTGTGCAGGGAGGAAAATGTGAGTGCTTCTTTCCTCTGGGTCACTGTTTAAAGTGTGTGAGGAACTACTGCCCTCCAACTGAGAATTAAAAACAAAGTAAGGTTAAAAAAAGAGGCTTTCTCTCAGATTTGTAGGCACACTTTGCTTGCTAATACTGTGTGTATTTCACACAGTATTTTGCAGGCAGTTTAAGCTCAGTATGGTAGCTCAGAGCTGATGCGTTGCTATCAGAGAAACTTTATTAGCTGAGGCTTGGTGATTTAGTAACTCCAATTTTGTAGTTCCTTGTTGGCTGGAAGCAAGACAGCGAGGAGTACATACGAGGAGTAAATAAAACCATGCTGTCCAGGAGCTGATCCTGCATCCTTTATCTCCCCAGCTTCTCGAAGTATCTGCCCCAGCACCCACAGAGCCCCATCACTCACAGATCACCTCAACCTCTTCCCAGCACACTGTGGACCCCTAGGAACTGGTCTAAGACATTTTGTCTGCCCCAGTAACTGGTCCTGGACCCTTTTAACCCCTTATCTCTGTGTTTTCCCAAGGTTGCTATCCCTCAGACATCTTTGAGCCCTCCCTTTCCCTGCCTTCAGTTCCATAATGAGCCTTGTACAACCCCAAAATGCTCTTCCCTGTGTCCCATAAGAAGTTTCACACCCCTGTTGTTGTTAGCTCTTCTCAGCCTGAAAGAGTGGAGAGCCTTTCCAGGGACTCTGGGGAAACCTCATTGCTGTCTCTCATANCCCATAAGAAGTTTCACACCCCTGTTGTTGTTAGCTCTTCTCAGCCTGAAAGAGTGGAGAGCCTTTCCAGGGACTCTGGGGAAACCTCATTGCTGCTTCCCCTAAAGAGGGCTTAAGAAAAAGAGGGAGAGCAACTTTTTACATAAAGAGATAGCAATAAGACAAGGGGGAATAGTTTTAAACTGAAAGAGGAGAGATTTAAATTCAGTATTGGCAAGAAATTGTTCCCTGTGAGATTGGTGAGGCCCTGGCACAGGTTGCCCAGAGAAGCTGTGGCTGCCCCATTCCCGGAAGTGTCCAAGGCCAAGTTGGACGGGGCTTGGAGCAACTTGGGATAGGGGAAGGTGTCTCTGCCCATGGCAGGAACTGGATGAGCTTTAAGGTCCCTTCCAACTCAAACCATTCTATGATCCTATGAATCTTAACTGCCCATCCCTTCAGTTCAGTCTCAGTTTTGCATAATGCCATAAGGTCCCATTCTGCTTCAGTTTGTTTGTGGATGATTTTCCTGGATGGAGTGCCAGGACAATTGGAACAAGTGGTTTTAGCATGGGCTGAGTCTGATGGGTAACGCATTGGCTAATGAGATGTGCTTTCAGCACACTCTTATTCTCACATGAAAACACAGCGTTCCCCTCATCACACTCAAGTGGTCCTGGAGTAACCCATTCCCAGTGATGTGGTTTGGGTGTCCTGGTTGTTGGGTCCATTCTTCCAAAGACTCTTTATTCCAGCTGACATTTTCCCATCTCAATTAAAAGGATAATGTAGTAAAAATCATTTGGGGTGTGGACTTCTCATGCTCCCCCATAAACTGTGGCAACCATTGGTATCCTTAAAAATCCTGTATAACACAGGAGTTCATTAAAGGCCAATAGTATTTGTGCACCCCAAGTGCTCTCCCAAGTCACCTTGCTAAGAGTCATAGGGATGGAGTGCTTAAGTTCTAGTGGAACTTCTGCTGTTTCCATCTTCACTGTGGCTGTCACTGTGCCACTTTAAAACCTGTCTGGAGGCTATTTCTCCTCTATTAAGAAGTTCTTTAGCTGCTTGAAGGTGGGTGGTATGGACAGATGTAGGCAATTTCTTGCCTTCCAGACTGCCAGAGTCTGGTTTTCATAAATAGCGGAATTAGGTTGTGCATTATGCATTTCAGAAGGGTGATTTGATGTGGCCAGACCCAATGTACAGTTAGCATAGAGTGATCCAATGAGCCATAACTCTGGTCTCAACTCCATACAAAAATTAATTATATTTCCTGGTAACACTACTGGAACTTTTAGCTCGGCTTGCTACCACAGGGAGACCTTAGTAATAAGGCTCTGGTTAAATTTTCTCCAGGTTTCCTGCATTTTCTGAGCGTGTCAGCTCTCACAAGGCCTAAATGATGCAGCGTTTTGTCTCAGGACTTTCTTTGTTTCTTCCTGTCTCTATGTGGTATGTGGTGGTCAGTTAGAGCTTAAGGTTCTTGAAATACCTGTTTTGAGCCTGTCTCTACAAAGTAGTGGGTAGATAAAACCTCAGGTTTCAAGACACACTGTCTTTGGGTCTTACTACATGTTGTAGAATTGCTTCTCTCAACAAAATGTTAATACAAGTTCATGGGGTCTGTGGTTTGCAGCAGTTGTTTCTTTCTGTTCAATGATACCCATGCCAGAGAACCAGATCTAGCCTGGCTGCTTACAAGTTGTTTTATAAATATTTTTGTGTTCCTTTGACATTTGAAGACTTTGGTACAATTTTCTTTAACAAAGAATTTTGTATGGATGTGTATTCATGTCCTCTTGGAATTACTCTGGATATTCAGTTTGGCACGTTTAGGCAGGATGATCTTTACTCACACATTCAGAGAGATGGATGAAAAGGGCTGTTGGAAGTGTGTGAAGTTTCTTCCAAAATCCTGTGATTTTTTCTTTCCCAGTAGCAGTTTTGAGAAGGAAGATGGATACCCTATTCTAAGTTAGTGTAGGTGTACACATGCTTTTCTAATTAACTCCTCTTCATACTGCTAATTATGGGAGTGAAGGAGATGTTGTATGGTTTCTAGGCTGAGACTGACATTTTAGGCAGCCAAAGCCACCACCTCAATGAATTACTCTGAGTACATCTCAAAAGAACAAAAACTTCAACCTTACATAGCAAAGTTTCTCGTTCCAAGTAAAACAAGGTTATGGAAGTCTGGCTTAGTGCCTTTAAAGAGTATGAAAAATATAGATGGAAGTTTCTTTCCCTAAAGGAGGAAAATAAATAAGTGGAAGAAAAACATTGTATATAACAGTATCTTGAGTCTTATGCCAGCAGTTCATCCTTTGTGATTCTGTGTCCTACTATTTTCCTCAATTTGATTAAAAGCAAAGCCAAATCTGTCAAATTCTGTATTGGAAACATTTGGTAGCAAAAATTTAAGAAATCTTTGAAAAGAATAAACAGAGGAAGAGGACTTTTTACCTGTCTGGATCTGGTTTTAGGTAAAAAAGACGGTTTATATTAAGTATAAATCAAGGACGGCATTTTAGCACATATGTTGCATATATTTTTATCTTCATAACATTGTGAAACAACTACTGCTAAGTATGATTTTAACTCAGACACTTCTTGTAATGTGCAAATGCCTTTAGGGTGCAAAGAGATTAAGTACTACGGTTTCTGAAAAAAAAACCCAAACAAACCAGAATTCTTGCAAAACAAAAAAGAGTATTATGGAACAATTTTAAAGAACTAAGTCTCTTACTTCTTTACTGGGTATTGCACAGTTAAGTGTACTGCTTCATGACAGATTTATTTATATATATTGTTTTACTTGTTGAAAGAGATACCCTGAACTTTCTTTTTCCAACTTGTTTACTAACGCAGTAGTCAAAATATAACAGTAAGTGCAATAGAATTGACTTCTTAGTCTTTTTATAATCTGTTCAAGGAGGAAAAACTTTTACTTTATGATAGCTGTGGGAGCTTATTCTAATTATTTTAAATCTAAACTTACTTTCCAGGTTAGGTGTTGAATTTAATACCTGTGTTTAATATTGTCCCCCTCCAGTGTATAACTACACTAATACTGACTGAAATGCAAGTAAATATATACCAAAAAATATTAACTGTGGAGTATGTACATTATTACATTTTTAAAAGCCTCACAGTATTTAGTAGCAAATGTTCATTACTTTGTGAGTGCTGTAACAAGGGAAAAATCTAAAAGAGAGAGATGTGCAGTTCAGAAATTCCATCTGTCAAATCCTGTGCTAACTCCACAATGGAAAAAGATGTGATATAGAATAGTGAGGGATCCCTTGTCAAAGATTTAGGGGCCCCTTTCTGCTGTGCTTTGTGCAGTTTGGTCTTTTATCTTGTAGATTTACTTAACTCTCAGAGGAACAAGGTTCTTGAAACCTGGCTGAGGATGCAGTGGTGTGTCTGTTTATTTCATTGCATCAAGACCAGTCTGATGAAGATGCACTAGTTTCCCCTTTAGCTGAAGTTGGGAACTGTCCTTCTGGCATGATTGTGGCACCTGATTGCACTAGGAATACTGTCCCTTTTCAGGAAAAAGCCCAAGAGCTAAAAAGAAGACTGATACCATAGTTCCTGTTACTGATTAGATTAAATGCATTTATTTATGTTAAAATGGCCTAAAGAATAAAACATGTCTTAGCACACTGAAATTACCGCTTTGATGGGAATTCTTCCATAAAGAGATCTGGCAGATGGAGAGAATTCTGATGAAGTCCCACATGGTCCCCCAAGTCCTTCCAAAAGATGGGAAAAAGCATCCCTTAAAAGAAATAAAATAAATAAATAAAATAAATATGATTTATAGAATTCCTTGGCTTAGCATGAGAATTAGAAGCTCATAAAAAGTGCAATTATCTTGCTCTTAGTAACTGGATACTGAAAACTGGGTATTGGTAGCATGTGTGGCTAAAAAGGATATTAAACACTCTAAGTTTGGATGATTTGGTGGTTTTGATTTGGATGGTTTATCATCAACCTATGCATTGTATCTTCAGGCAAACAAACATAATTTTGCAGGTTTCTCATCACTGGTGTGATGTCTGTCTGTCCATATGTCATAAAGGGAGATGAAACACAGTACTTGCCTATTTTTGCTAACATGGACGTGTTCCCTTTTAGCTACTCAGACATCTTGATTGAGCGGGAGGTGCTGATGCAGAAGTACATCCACCTCATGCAGATCGTGGAGACTGAGAAGATCGCGGCCAACCAGCTCCGGCACCAGCTGGAGGACCAGGACACGGAAATCGAGAGGCTGAAGTCAGAGGTTTGTCCCAGACCCATCAAGGATTGAGTGAATTATAACATTTTGCTGTATGCTTTGCAATAACATTCAATATTTCTGTAATATTTTGTGAAAACAGCAGGACCCAGTAAGGTTAATATGTAACAGTCCCCCTGTGAGCCCTTGGATAAATACTTTTCTTAGAAATATTAGGGACTGTTTGCTGATTGGATTACTTTTTTTTTTTTTTGTCAGAGGGTTTAAGATGCCACATTGCTTTGCAGAACCATCAATTGCCTTATTTCCTACCTGCTTACGAGTTGGAGGAGTTTGGTCCCCAACATGTGGTCTTTGGTTTGATAGTATTAGGAACTATTCCAAACTTCTCTGATTCACTGAACTTTATCAGTTCAGTGTGTCCAAAAGACACACTTGGATTTTGAGGGGAGAACCTGCTCTCTTCTGTTCCTCCTTCCACCTGGACCAAGATCCATGATGGTTTGAAGAGAAGTGTGTTCATGTCCCTGTGACTAAATGTGTGCTTGTCATTCTTCAGCTTTAACAGGCTGGAGCAAGGAGAAAATATTTTTCTATCAGTTCCCTAACTAAGGGTTTCATTAACTTGGGGAAACATTTAATGAACATTTGTTTTTAACAGATTGTAGCGCTGAATAAAACAAAGGAAAAAATGCGACCTTATCAAGGCAACCAGGAAGATGAGGATCCAGATATTAAAAAAATTAAAAAGGTAAATGTGCAGTCTTCTGTGCTTAAGGAAAGAAGGGTGGAAAGGGTGGTGTATTTCTGTATCTTAGGGTTTATACTCCTTTCTCATAAAAAGGTTTATGATTATGTAAGAGAATGACTTACTGAAAATGCAGAGAGCATTCTTGGTGTAGTTGTCAGCCAGTCTATAGGATAGGGACTGTTCCAGGGTACTATGGCCAGTGTTTTTAATAAGAGGGACTCAATTGTTCCCAACCTGCATGGCATTTACATGTGCAGCTTTTGGGGATATTGCTTAAGGCTGGGTATCACCAGCCTCCAGAACTGTACCCATCACTGAGTCCCACAAATCCTGATGTATGACGGTTAACGGAATTCAGTTTTTTAAGTACAGCTGTAGCCCCCTAAATGTTGCTCCTGTTCTAACCATATTCAGCCTCTTAAATTCCCTTTATGGAATGCGAACCTAGTTCCTGTCTTTTTCTGGATTGTGCAGTCTGAGCCAGGGTCAGCACTGAGCTGGTAACTTGGTGTGAATTTTCCTTTGTAATAGAAGCTGGAAATGCCTCTTGTAGTTGAATCCCTGTGAAATTCACTCCATTCTTTGTGTTGATTGTTTAGACAGTTGGATCCTTTTTTTTTAAAGTTGTTTATTTGAACTGCTACCAGTGAGATTTTGCAGTTCTCTTTCAAGATGAATGATCTTCACATCAAGATCAGGGCACAGACACAATGAAATTTTCTGTGACCAGATGCAGACATCCTCTGTAATCTTCAATCCACTTGAAACTTCAATAGATATTGTGCTTAGCTAGATTTTTCCATGACATAAAGGTGCTTTTTAAGAATGCCAAAAATCTGCCTTTTTGGGTAATAGGTTTGTTGCACGCGTGTCGGATGCTAAGCAATGTATTGATACTTATCTTTAAATACACATGCTAGGGGTTATCTATTCAAAACAGAAAGCAAACTGAGTTTAACAGTTATTTCAGAATTCTGTCTGTAATGATATTGAGTATGTCTTGAAGTGTGTTACCTGGAAGAATTGCGTGATACTTTTGGGAGTATGAGAGAAATATGTGAGGGGAGGTAAAAGGAGCTGAAAAATGTGTTGTGCTGATGGGAAGGGTACAACTCTTGAGCTTGAACTAAAAGGTTCCCTGATATATATGTGATATCTTTACAGTGTTTCCTGGCAACAAATATGACCTCTAACAAACAGAAACTGAAAATGTATGTAATTGCGGAACAATTATAGATCAATAAAAGAACATATTTTTATTTTTAAGCAATGGCATTTCATTTTCAGGATTATTTCTGCAGTGAAGGTGTTGTGATAAGTTGTGTAACTTTTTTTTTCTCTCATTTTCTTGTTCTGCCTGATCTATTTTTAGGTTCAGAGCTTTATGCGGGGCTGGTTATGTAGAAGAAAATGGAAAACTATTGTTCAAGATTACATTTGTTCTCCTCATGCAGAAAGCATGAGGAAAAGGAATCAGATAGTTTTCAACATGGTGGAGGCTGAATCTGAGTATGTGCATCAGCTTTATGTGCTTGTGAACTGTTTCCTGAGGCCGCTCAGGATGGCTGCAAGCTCAAAGAAGCCGCCCATCAGCCATGATGATGTCAGCAGCATTTTCCTCAACAGGTACAGGGGCTTTCCTTTGGGTTTTTTGAGGTTTTTTATTTCGTTTTTTTTGTGTTTCTGTGACTGCTTCTTCCCATTTTGGTTCAGTTCACGCTAGTGAGGTTTGGCCCTTGTCTTCTGGCTCTAAAAGGCAAAGATGCTGTTGGTGATGCCGTTTGAAACCAGCAAGATCTCTTTACGTTCTAACATTCAATGTCTTCCTCTGTTAGAGGAAAAAAAGGACAAATTGTGCGTCTTGGGGCACTTCTCATAATTTTCTGTCACCTTTCCTGTTTCTTTTTCTTTTAAGAGAGCAAACTTTGACTTAGTGGCCTTATATGATCCCGATAAAACTCTGAAGATGAGTGTATCAAATTTTCTATTTTCTGTTGTCCTGCCTAGGGAGTCTCCTTCCATCTCACTTGTCTTTTCATATCCTACAAAAAAAGAATTGTTCTTTCTTTAAGCATCCAAGTACTACTGTAATGAGCATGTACAAATAAGCCAGCAGGCATCTCACATTGGATATGGGATAGGGATTGCAACCAGGTCTACCCCGAACGTCTAAGAAATAGAACATGTTCCTTTAGTTATGAGGCAGGTTTCCTTTTCACTGTTAGCATATGCTTTCTACAGCAAATACTATGTGTTTTTTAGAAGTACTAAACTAAAATTTTTAAACAATGCAATAAAAGGAAGCACTTATTTTCATAACAATACCTTTCTTCTGTTTTTTTCCTAGCAAAGTGCAAAATATACTACTAACCAGGAAGAGATGTTTCTCTGTGAATTATTAATCAGAAAATAAAACCAAAATTGTCTTTTTGTTTGTTTAAACACTTGTTTTTCAGTGAAACAATCATGTTTCTTCATGAGATATTTCACCAAGGCTTAAAAGCAAGAATAGCTAACTGGCCTACCTTAATTCTAGGTAAGTTACTTTATTTTCTCTAGGGGTATACATTTCGTATTTATTTTTTTAAAATTCAATAAGGACTTTTTTTAAAAAAAATAAAAAAGATGACTTTTTAAAAGGGAATGCATTTGCAGAATTAAAACCACAGGATCTGGTGTAGTGAGAGTCCTGTGTGGGCAGTAATGGTCTGTATATGAGGATTCCTCTGCCCTAAGCAATGACTAGACTTGGGCCCCTTATTTTTTGGTGATGTATCTGACTGTTAGCTAATCAGAATAGCCATGGTTTGACATGTGAAAGAGCCACATTTAATGTTTCTAAAACGTCAGTGTATTGGACACAGAACTGATTATTGTAATTCACTTCCATAGAAAGTAGTACTTCCTTTAAAAATATATTTCCAGAGATGGGTAGTTGGGAAAAAAAAGCATTTCTCTGCTTTTTCTAGCTGACTTATTTGACATTCTGCTGCCAATGCTGAACATATATCAAGAATTTGTTCGGAATCATCAATATAGCCTACAAATACTGGCAAACTGTAAGCAAAACAGAGATTTTGACAAACTCTTGAAGCAATATGAAGCCAACCCAGCATGTGAGGGGCGAATGCTGGAAACTTTCCTTACTTACCCCATGTTTCAGGTAGTCTCTGTGTATTTTTTGTGTATACTGTTTTTGGTTTTACTGTTTGGTTGTTTCATTTGGTGTTACTGACATTGTAATAGATTGAAGGTTCCTCTTGCTTAACTAAAAATACTCTCCTGCAAATTAGTTTAAATTTATTTTGTTATTATACCAAAACTTTGCCTGTAGAGGTCTTTTCTCCAAATATACTGGTTTATCTTTATTCAGAATCTTATGTAGGCTGGAAGGGAGTGTGAGACAAAGAAAATTGCTGAGAAACAATTCCTTGACTTATCCCTTCTGATAAAGTCCAAAGACGGATGATACATCTCATATAGCAAATCAGAGCAGCCACAAGCATTTTACCAGGAATACATTTACAACTTTCCCCTCACTTTGTTCTCCACTGACTTGGTCTGTGGAAAATGAAAAATATACTGCAAAAGTTGTGAAAACTGTACTTATCTTTCTGGAGTTTTTTTGTGGTCTGTCTGGATTAATATTTGCAGCTGTTTTAGGATTTCTGTGAAGCAGTGGTCTGATAATTTTGTGTCTGTTTCATTTAACCTAGTGTTTTACTCATCAGGAGAATAGTGAACCCCCTCAGTTTGTTCAGTTTTTGGCAAAACAAATTAGGTACATTTAAGGGACATCAGTGACTCTTAAGTTAGTACCAGTTATTCATATTAGCCTAAGGAGTCATTAGCACCTGCAACAATGCTTTTCTAATCTTTGAATTGGTATCTTTTAAAGTTTTTGGGATTTCCTTTGGTTGAGCTGAAACAATGTCATGGGAGGGAGAGGGGGGGTACTGTTCAGATGTGTTGGGTGATGTCATTGCTAATGACTTTTCACTTAGGCACCATGTTGTGTCTCCTTCTCCGAAATAACTTCTATCAGACATGTTCTGGTTATAAAGCTCTGAAGGGTCCTTGTGCTACCCCGTAGCCTTTAATAGTCAAATACTGCATATTTTTCAATGAAGAATTTTGTCCAGTGTGAATTTTACCTAAATACAGACAGGTCAGCTGGCACTTTCAATGTCACAATAAAATTAGATCCACATATCCTATTAAAATTGAGGGAAGGTATGTCTACATTTACTGATTTTATACCTTACTTGTTTCAAGATTCCTAGATATATTATAACACTTCATGAACTTCTGGCTCACACACCACATGAACATGTTGAGCGAAAAAGCCTTGAATTTGCTAAATCTAAACTAGAAGAACTTTCAAGGTAAGATTTTTCTACATTATGTCTGATAATTTTGAATCAAAGGTTTTGCAGTGAAAAACTTATTTTCTTTGTTTTGATTTGGTTTTGTTCCCTTAAAAAAAAGTATGTGTTTTAAAGAAAACTATTAAAATCAAAACATAAGATAATGAAAAATAACAAAAATATCTTAATTTAATATTTTATCTCTTCTATTTTTCTTTTTTTTTTTTTTTTGGCTAGCATAAATATACAGGTTTTGGTTAGGGGAGAACAGAATCACTATAGAAACCACCTACCCCTGGGTTATGAACAAAGCAGTTTTCCTTACATAGAGAAATAATTTTTTGTTTCATAGTTTAAAGAAAAATGACATTTTCAGTATTCTGGGTCTTGAAAAGTACCAAGTTCTCAGCCTGTGCTATAGTTTTTGTGCATTAATGTAATAACTAATTTTCACATATGCTTCAAATAATGCCAGATAATCAGGAATTACAGATGTATTTTGAGAACTGATGCTCCCTGCAAAATGAAGCTCTTCCCTGAACCCCGCAGACTGTTCTCAGATGTTCCTCTCATCAGCCTAGTGGGAAATGTGGTTCTCATCCCTGGGAAACAAAGTTTTCTGCTGTGAACAAAGAAACCCTGAGTGAACTCTGAGATATAAATCTTGTTTGTCTGGATTATTCACCAAATACGTGCTTGGAGAATATTTGGTTGTAAAAGATACGCACAAGTCAGCTTTGGGTTGGCTTCATCTCATAAGTCAGAGTTCATTGCTGATCTGACTAATTCATCACTGAACATTCAGAATTGAAGGCTGATTGATTGTTCTCAGCTCATAAACTGTATAGACCGTAAATATGAAATTTTGTGACTCATTTCCATCTCATCAGTGTAGTTCTGAAGGAGGAGTAGCTTCCAAACAGTGCAGTCCAACCCAGTTCAGGAAAAAATTATGTATCATGCCTTTTTTGTTGTGTCCAACAGGGTGATGCATGATGAGGTGAGTGACACGGAGAATATCCGGAAGAATCTGGCCATAGAGAGAACCATAGTAGAAGGCTGTGACATACTACTGGACACCAGCCAAACTTTTATACGCCAAGGTAAGGCATTCGTCTTTAAATCTCTCTATATTATCATGGAAAAACTGCATTAAAGCCAGCAGGGTTCATGTTGCCATCATCAGCAGGTCACCACACTGGGCACAGCCAGCATCCTAAACCTGCTCGTGGTCCATGTAGGGTAGGCCACAAAATGACCTGAAGTCAGGTAATTTTGGGCTGTAGTTGGACACTTCTGTGCTGTTTTCTTCAGAAGCCTTGGAAAACAGCAGCACATGAGTAGTAAAGCCCCCATGGAACACTGCTGTACATTCTGCCTGGACTGCGGTTGTCAAATGGATGGAGGGAAACACTGTTTTCCTTTCTGTCTATTGATGGAACTTTTGAAAACCCTTTCTACCAAAACTAGTTATTGCAGAGGTGGGATTTGTTGTAAAGTTCCACAAAACTGTGATAAAATAACTTTTCCATTTAAAGTAAGTGTCACTTTTTACCAGGAACTGCAAACTGGTTACAGTTCCTATTTGGTGGGGTTTACTTTACTGCTTATTTTTCTTCCATTTATACAATAATTTACTTCTGGATCTCTTAAAACAATTTGGTGGATTTGTACATAGTAACTACAGATCTGTAGCATACGATTTCAACTGGGTTTTGTTCCTTAGTGCTGAAAAGTATTAAGTATAGTCAGGAAAGATTAGGAATATAATTTAGGTGCATCCCTGCATTAAACCTTTTCCAGATAACCTCAGCAGAAGATTTGGTATTTAATGGTATCACAGTTGGGGATTAATAGGCTTTGTATATATTCTGAAATGCATCTTGTACTGTTTCTGTAGTTATGTGGCCACACTGTGAAACTTTCTATAATAACTCCCAATATTGTTCTCACAACAGTCACTATTAATTTACCTGTTTCTTCACTAAATATGTGTATTTGTTACCTGTGAGGCATTTTAAGAGTTATGAATATGGCTTTGAGGAAAATACCAAGTTGTTGCATCCACAGCCAAAAAATTATAGGGCTGTGATTACCCTAGATTGACTTGTACCATGCAATTTAATTAAATTTTAGATTTTTTTTTTCAAGATTATTACAATATTTTATATTTATATATTTATTAGATTTTCCTCCTTAAGACTGATAATATTTTGTCTGTGTACCCACTGTTTCATCAATAGAATTTACAGTTTTTTCTGTAAGAGTAAGTCTGAACAAGGTTACTGTTGGAGTGTTAGACTCAGGCAAAACCCATAGTTTCAGTAAAGTAAATTCAGATCTATTTCTAGGCATACAGTCAAAGGACAGTGGACAAGAGTGTATGTTACAGAAGACTGCATCAGTTTATCTTGTGGAACACCCACTGCCTGTGATTCTGTGTAAGTGCAGAAATCTGAATAGAGCCCATGGCAGTAGGGTCACCTTGGCAGAGATGTCCATCTCCTCTAATTTCCATTAGCCTTCTGTTCGTTGTATTGATCAGTGTAGATGGGTTCAGGAAACCTCTTTTTCAGCTTAAAAAATGAGAGAGGTTCCTTTACCTTTGTTTAGGCTTTTTCAATGGATGTTAATTACAGCTTTGCCTATGTCATATACTTTACTTCTTTAAGAAGGGACTGATTCTGTTGAGTTTTACAAGTTGAGACCATAGGAACTATCTCTGGCAGTGCTTTGCAGTGTAGGCTATGGATTCTCCTTCAAGTTTCTTGGGGTCTGATTTTCCCTGTTGCTTACTTAGATGCAGTTTTTATTGTAAGGCACACAGACAATTAAGGAAAATTTTCTTTAAGATCCCTTCTACTCTCTGTTGCTCAAAGCAGCATCAGCTGGAGCAGGTTGCTCTGTGCCATGTCCAGTCAGGATTTGGTTGTTTCCATGGATGTAGACTCCACAGCCTCTCTGAATGAACAACCTCTCCCAGTGTTTGACCACCTGAATGGTAAAAACAAACAACAAAAGAAGTAATAAACCCCCCAAACTCCAAAATGGAGAAAGCCAAACTGGGTTGCTAAATCAGGCAGTCTGAATGTAGCTAAAATTTTTTCTATTCCTCGGATTGGACAAAGCCTGACAGTGTGACTACTCTGGCAGCACAGAAGTACTGAAAGTGCTTAGGGCTGTAGCTGAATAAAAGATTACACTGTTGTCCAAACTATACTGTTAATGAATGTCCTAAAATTAGCTTCACTTGTTCACTGCATCTGTACATTGGCCAATTGTGACCATTTTTTTCCTTAAGAGGAAATCTGTAGAATGCCCAGTGAGCCAATGCCCAGTTTCCTTAATCACAAAAGCCTGATGGGAATGCACAAGGTCCTTCCTTGATGTCAGCCCTACAGTATGTATAGGAGATGTGTTTCTCTCTGTAAATATAAAATAGAGAAAATGCAGTCTCTCTTTCCTGCTTTTAAAAAGTATATTTTGTTTTGCCTTATTAAAAAATAATATTTCACCTCTGTCTAAGAACATCATTTAACCTTCAGTGCATTATAGCAGAGCAAAATATTCTGGAAGCATTCTAATGAAACTAAAAATAAATAAAATAAAAGTTACCTGTGAAGTTAAGTCTGTAAGCATATAGTATTTATAGATACTACTATTCTAATAAGCAAAGCAGAAATTGAATGTACAGGTTGAATATTTCTACCCTAAAGGTATAGATAGAATTTTAGGAGGAAAATGACACAGAGAGCTTTGTACTGGGAATTGTTTGAGCAATTTTGAAGTTTTAAACACATTTGTTGGCCTTGCAATGTCCCTTTGGATCTAAGGGACCAAATGAGAATCACAGATTCAACCAGGTTGGAAAAGACCTCCAGGATCATCAAGTCCAACCCATGACCCATTACCACCCTGCCAATTAGACTATGGCACCGAGTGCCACATCCAGTCTCTTCTTAAACACCTCCAGGGACAGTGACTCCACCACCTCCCTGGGCAGCCCATTCCAATGGCCAATCACTGTCACTGTAAAGAATTTCTTTCTAATGTCCAACCTAAACTTCACCTGGCACAGTTTAAGACTGTGCCCTCTTCTCCTACTGCTGGTTGCCTGGAAGAAGAGACCAACCCCCACCTCTACAACCTCCTTTCAGGGAGTTGTAGAGAGTGATGAGGTCTCCCCTGAGCCTTCTCTTCTCCAGGCTGAACAGCCCCAGCTTCCTCAGCCTCTCCTCAGAGGACTTGTGCTTGAGTCCCTTCACCAGCCTTGTTGCTCTTCTCTGGACCTGCTCCAGCACCTCAATGTCCTTCCTGAACTGAGGGGCCCAGAACTGGACACAGCACTCCAGGGGTGGCCTCACCAGCACTGAGTACAGGGGAAGAATCACTTCCCTGGTCCTGCTGGCCACACTGTTCCTGATACAGGCCAGGATGCCATTGGCCCTCTTGGCCACCTGGGCACACTGCTGGCTCATGTTCAGGTTCCTGTCAAGCCAAACTCCCAGGTCCCTTTCTGCCTGGCTGCTCTCCAGCCACTCTGTGTCCCAGCCTGTAGCGCTGCAGGGGGTTGTTGTGGCCAAAGTGCAGGACCCAGCACTTGGTCTTGTTAAACATCATCCCATTGGAATCAGACCATCTCTCCAGCCTGTCCAGGTCCCTCTGCAGAACCCTCATGTCTTCCAGCTGATCCACACACACCCCCTCTCGTCCAGTTCATCAATAAAGATATTAAACAGAACTGGGCCCAACACTGATCCCTGGGGGACACCACTAGTGACCAGCTGCCAACTGGATGCAGCCCCGTTCACCACCACTCTCTGGGCTCAGCCCTCCAGACAGTTCCTAACCCAGCACAGAGTGCCCCTGTCCAAGCCATGGGCTGCAGCTTTTCCAGGAGTGTGCTGTGGGAGATGGTGTCAAAGGCTTTGCTGAAGTGCAGGTAGACACATCCACAGCCTTCCCCTCATCCACCAGGTGGGTCACCTGATCTTAAAAGGAGATCAGGTTGGTCAGACAGGACCTGCCCATCCTAAACCCATCCTGGCTGGGTCTGATCCCATGTCCATCCTGTAGGTGCCGCATGATCACACTCGGGATGATCTGCTCCATAACCTTGCCAGGCACTGAGGTCAGGCTGCCAGGCCTGTTGTTTCCTGCATCGTCCTTCAGGCCCTTCTTGTGGATGGGCATCACGTTAGCCAGCTTCCAATCATCTGGGACCTCCCCAGTGAGCCAGGACTGTTGGTAGATGATGGAGAGTGGCTTGGCAAGCTCTTCCACCAGCTCCCTCATCACCCTAGGATGGATCCCCTCTGGTCCCATAGACTTGTGAGGATCCAAGTGGCTCAGCAGGTCACTAACTTCTTCCTCCTGGATAACAGGAGGGCTGATCTGCTTCCTGTCTCTGTCTACCAGCCCAGGAAGCCACTTGTCCTGAGGACAACCTGTATTCTTGTTGAAAACTGAGACAAAGAAAGTGTTAAGTATCTCAGCCTTATCCTTGTCTTCAGTAACTATGTTCTCCTCCATGTCCAACAAAGAACAGAGGTTTTCCTTGCCCCTCCTTTTGCTCTTGATGTATTCAAAAAAACACTTTTTGTTATCCTTAACAGAAGTGGCCAGATAAGGTTCAAATTGTGCTTTCGCCTCTCTAATTTTCTTTCTACATGTCCTAACTACATTCCTAAATGCTTTATGAGTAGCCAGCCCTTTTTTCCAAAGGCAATAGACCCTGTTTATTCCCAAGTTTCCTGCATAATCTCCCTGTTCAGCCAGGCAGGTCGTCTTCCCCACCAGCTCGCCTTTTGGCACATTGGGACAGCCTGCTCCTCCGCCTTCAAGATTTCTTTCTTGAAGTATATCTATCCTTCCTGAACCCCTTTGTTTTTAAGGGCTGTTTCCCAAGGTATTCTCTGAACCAGCCTCTTGAACAGGCCAAAGTCTGCCTTCCAGAAGTTCAGGGTAGAGGCTTTGTTGACGCCCATCCTTACTTCACTGAGTATTGAAATCTCTATCATTTCGTGGTCACTGTACCCCAGATGGCGTCCAACCACCACATCTCCCACCAGCCCCTCTCTGTTTGTGAGCAGCAGGTCTAGCAGGGCTCCACCTCTGGTAGGTTAATTTACCAGCTGGAGCAGGAAATTATCCTCTATACACTCTAGGAATCTCCTAGACTGCCTCTTCTCCCCTGTGTTGAGTTTCCAGCAGACATACGGCAGGTTAAAGTCACCCACAAGAACAAGGGCTGGTGATTTTGAAACCTCTGCCAGCTGCTTGTAGAATAATTCTTCATCCGGTTGTGTGGTCTATAACAGACTCCCACCAGGATGTCAGCCTTGTTGGCCTTCCCCCTTATTCTGATCCACAGGCACTTAACCTTCTTGTTACTGACTTCAAGTTCTACAGAGTCAAGAGACTCTCTAACATACAGAGCCACCCCTCCACCTCTCCTACCTTGTCTATCCCTTCTGAAGAGCTTGTAGCCACCCATGGCAGCACTCCAGTCATGCGAGTCATCCCACCACGTCTCCGTGGTGGCGACTACAGCACAGCTTTCCTGCTGCACGATGGCTTCCAGCTCCTATTGTTTGTCACCCACACTGCGTGCATTGGTGTACATGCACTTGAGCTGGGCTGCTGATTTCACTTCTAACTCTGGCTTTCACCCTTAGGCTCATCTGTGGAGAGCCTGGTTTCAACCTCTTCTCCCTTCAAACCTAGTTTAAAGCCCTCTTGATCAGCCCTGCCAACTTATATGCTATAGCTTTTTTATCCTTGCTAGATAGATGAAGCCCACCTGGCTCTAGCAGGCTTGGTAGCATAAATTTTGCCCTATGATCAAAAAACCCAGAATTCTGCTTGTGGCACCAATCCTTTAGCCACCTATTGATAAGATGGGTTTTCCTACTCCTCTCCTCGTTCATCCCTGCTACTGCAGGAATTGAAGCAAACACCACCTGTGCTCCTGTCCCATCAAAAAATTGACTCAAAGCCTTAAAGTCCTTTTTAATTGCCCTGGTACCTCTTTTATTGATCTCATCACTGCCAACCTGCACTACCAACAGTGGGTAATAATCAGAGGGCTGAATTAGCTCGGAAGGTCTCTTGCTAATATCTGTCACCCTGGCTCCAGAAAGGAAGCAGACTTCCCTGTGGGATGGGTCTGCTTGGCATACAGGACCCTCAGTTCCCCTGAGAAGGGAATCACCAACTACAACTATTTTTTTTCTTAATAGCTGTGGTTGTGATCCATCTAGGAGATGGGATGCAACTGGGAGACCCTCCAGACAGATCTTTGAGTGTCATCTGCCTGACTCTCTGGGTCCAGGGCCTCATACCCATTCTTTAAGGCCACCTGGGGAGGTGATGGGAGTCGGGAGGGGATTCTTTTAAGTCTCTGACCAGGGACCTGTTTCCATTCCCCCCCACCTACTTGGTCTGTTCCATCTACCCGATGACAAGAGAGGCAGGCTTCTCTAACCTCGATGTAATGTTGCAAAGTCACCATTCATTCCCACACATGGAAATTATCTCCTTTCTCTCTCTCACAGCTGAGGCAGGTAGGATGTTTTGTCCAGGGGAAATGCACAACAACCAATAAGTATTTATGGAGTTTGGTGAGAATTTAAGTGAACCTAAAACATTCCAAATTCTTTTGCACAGTTCTAGCACAACTTTACTCCACTGTTTTGTTGCAGTGACATGAATCATGTTGTACATGTTCAGTTTAAGTGTGAAATGGCTGTCAGAGAACGCTGTTCTGTGGCAGATTTACTGCTGTGTATTTTCCCGTGTCAGTAGAAGTTTATATATCGATAACTTAAGGCTAATGAAATATACAAAGGGAGATAGGTGTAGAAAAATATAGACAAGTAGCAGCTTTATCAGTTACCTCAATTTCTCTGTTTGTTAGTTTAAGAACTTTGAGCAGGATAATTCTTTTGACAGTGTAAAGAATTACTAATCTAATATTTCATGGATGGTTCTTTCAGGCTGGCATTGCGTCAAGTTTGAGCTTTGACACATGTCTTCTTGCCTCCAGAAGAGGCAGGTCAAAGACCTCCTCCCTTTGTCCCATGAGTTCTTTGGTGCCCTTTTGACCTTACTCCTACCAGGGAGCTAAGTCAGCTACCTCTTTGTAGCATTAGTTTCCTGCTGGTTTAGCTCTATTAGCTGGCTAATGTTGGAATAAGATGCAGTGTAAGGGTGATAGTGAGGATAGATGTGTGGGAATGATATTAGGAGGTCTCTTGGCTGCCCTGTCTGCTCATAGCAAGTTGTATGATAGAGATCTCTCCCTTTGATATGTAGAGGAGTTGCACTGCACTACCAAATTTAACTCCAGTTCCAAATTTGGAGGTGATACACATGGTGGTATCAATCTGGAAAAGCTGGTCAGAGACTGAGGTATGAAACAGCAGAGGAGCAGAGCTGTCCCCAGCCTGGAGCACAAATTCAGACTTACATAAGAAGGTTCAATTTAGTCCAGAAGTGTTTTACTGATAACACATTTTAGATGAGCTGTGGAGCACTGAAAATTATGCAGCACAAGATAAGCAGAAGAAATGTGCTTCATTTCCATCTCTCTTGCACACAGGCTCACACACATACAACAAACTCCTTTCCTTCACAACATATTCTTTGCATTCTCTGTCTCTTTGACTTGTAAGTAACTTGTCTTTTGCAAGTCTAGTAGCTGTCAAAAGTGCTTTTTGCTGCTCAGCTACATTTTCTGATCAATGAGCTATTAGTGTGTTTAATTGCATAATTAGCCCAAGATCTAATCCTGCCATGCACATAAGTATTAGTCATACTTGTTTGAATCTATTTATGATAAAAACCAAAGGGAACTTTTGCAAAAAAAAGATGATTGACTTGTGCTTCAGAGACAGACTGATATACATTGATACTAGAATGAAGAGTTGCATTTATTAACATAATAATATTGAATGCATTAACTTAAACACTGCCTACTAAATATTACTTTAATACAGTAAATTTTGCATCTTTATTATCAGGTTCCCTTATCCAAGTCCCTTCAGTTGAGAGGGGAAAGCTTAGTAAAGTTCGCCTGGGCTCACTGTCTTTGAAGAAAGAAGGAGAAAGGCAGTGCTTCTTGTTTACAAAACATTTTTTAATTTGTACTAGAAGTTCAGGAGGAAAACTGCATCTTCTCAAGGTATGGACTTTACAATATGTTTAAGCTGCACAATAAAAACACATTTTGGTGAAATGTCAATATTATGTTATTTTATGGCTTTACACTGAGGTTTGCCTGTAAGGTTATAAACAGAAGTGGAGTGATAAACAGTTATTAACTGCTTTGTCCTTTGATTTCAAATAATGGAATTCAGCCAACATTATTACTAATTATGGGATTTTTCTAAAACCAGTTAATTCTAATAATCTGGGGGTTAGGAATAAGGCATTGATGTATCATATGAAGCAGTGAATAAATTCAGTGTATGTAGCACTGAATATAAGTCAGTTTTCAGTGCATAAATCAGCCAGTACAATCCTGCAGAACTGCCAAAGAACATTTTCGAGAACTCTAATAAAATTAGTTTTAAAAGTCAATTCTGTTTCCTGGACAGCACATTCTCTTAAACTGAAATGTCATCTAAGAACAATCTAGTTTTGCTTGCTTAGAAACAGGCTTTTATAGGGCTGGCTTGTGGATAAAGAGATGCTGGCAGCTTACAGAGTGGATTATGTTGAATAGAATTTTAATTTGACATTCTGGGAGGTTATTAAGACTGTTTATGGGCTTTCTCTCTTTGCACATCTTAAATAGTTCAAGTACTTTGCAAAATAATTAGACTATAACAGAACCTTTAAAAAACCTTGTATCTATTTCATTTAAATTCAGGAGAAGATGAAATTCTGTTTAACTTTTTTGGAACTTGTGTACAAGTCCATATGTGATGTGAATTACAGTGTGGTAAAACTGAAAGAAATGTTGTATGTTGTACTACTGGATTAAAAAAAAATTATATTTAATCTGTCTGGGTTTAGGTCTTGAAGAAAAAATGTGCATGATGAAATTGATATATCTTCCTAAGAGCTCTGAGTAATGTAAAATGTTAAAGTTGTATCAAAGTTTAAAAATAACTGTCATGACAAATGGGAACAAATGACGAAATTTGTGAAAATTGTTCTTTGTTTTCATAGACAGGAGGTGTTCTGTCGTTAATAGAGTGCACATTGATTGAGGAGACAGATGCCAGTGATGATGATTGTAAGTTAAATTCAGCTGTTTGTGATAATTATGGTTTCTAGTTTCCAAAAATTGCAACCTATTTTTTGTTTTTCACAAGAGCAAATTGATATGTTTTCTCCCTGCATGAAACCAGAGGAATACACTGTTAAATTGATTCAGTACAATGAATGTTTCAATAATGGACATGCTGGCTCAGGTAACGGTTTGTTATGTTATATTTGTTCGTGCTGTTGACATCGCACATCGGATTTTCAAGAGGACGGACTGAAGGAATGTGACAAATTATTTGCGGACATTTGTATATAGCTTCACCCATAGGATCTTGGAAAGAAAAAAAAGCCTCAAAACAAGCAGCAGATAATTGGATTTCTAAAATAAATGGGGGGTCGAATGAAATGGCAGAATTCATGGAAAGCTTTTGTCTTGGACTCCCTACAAGTCTGAACTGCGAGCTTGTTCAAATGGAATAACAAAACACAGGCTCAAGCTGATTTTATTGTGACTCATGTTGGTTTCCATCCTGCAGTTTTTCAGCTTTTGAACTTGAACTGTGGAAGTAGTTTCATTAATTTCAGTGATATTTCTAGTATGCTGAGGGTATATGAGCATAGAAGTGTTAGAAGTAATTTAGCCTTATTTGGTATCTTTAGAAAAATGTGCAGCAACTCCACTATTTTTGTATGTGAAAAACAAAATGAGTTTTTGGATCCCCAATTGGATTTGCTCTTTGTCTGGGTGATGTTTTAAAGCAACTTTTGTTTTAAATGAAACCATTTTTTATTTGTCTTGTACTCTGAAGTTTCACATTTTCTTTTTTTTTCCTCCTCTGGCTGTAAAGCAAAAGGTTCTGGACAGGTGTTTGGGCACCTTGATTTCAAACTTATAGTTGAACCTACGGATGCTCCTCCTTTTACTGTTGTCCTTTTAGCCCCATCACGACAGGAGAAAGCTGCGTGGACAAGTGATATCAGTCAGGTAGTTTAATGCATTCTTTGTCACGTGTGCACTGAGATCTTAGTTTATTCTGTATTTCTGAAAACCATTCCGAGACAGGGATGCTGATTTCTTGAGGGCTCATTTGCTGTGTTCTGTAGGAAAACCCCTTAGTGCTGCCTGTTTTCCTCAAAATTCTGTCTTTGCATTTGAGTCACCAGTGAAATGTGTTTCTCAATGACAGAGATGGGATATAAATTACAAAATTGTCCATGTACAAACATAATACTAATGGTAATCATTTTTATGTCTAGGAAGAGCCCATCCAGATATGTATTCTGATTTAAGAAGAAGGATAGTACTGGTTTGTTCATGACTTTCATACAAATCAAAAAACATCTGAGAGTCCTGAGAGTGAAAATTATGCCATATCACATCAATAATGTAGTGAGAAAATGAGATAAACTCTGTTTTCCACCAAAAAGAATACTAACAAACCATTATAAATATTGCTGAGCATTCTGACAGTTTGCAGGAACTGTCCATATTGTAAATGAAGAAAAAAGGTTTTTCAAAATATTTTAATGTCAGGAATATTTTTTTTGTGCGTTTAGTTAAAAACTAATGGCAAAATTTTATCCAAGTCTATCTGGGGAAAGAAGTTGAATGCACTGTCTGAACTTTCACCTAAGCAGATCTAAATTAAGGCTATTTTTGTGTGTGTGTGTGCATATGATCAACAAGTACATAGATCTGTCATAGTCCTGAATTCAAGTCCTATCCTCTATTAATTTAAAGAGTAATAATTGATTAGAGAAATATCAGTGTGGAATGTGTTGCATTTCTTAAGCTGCTGTCATTGCTGGCAACATCTCCAGATGAATCATTGTCATAATGAGTAGAAACTGCTTAAAAATAAGTATTCTGAGTTACTCTCTGCTGGAATAACATTTTTGAAAGAACAAAAATATGAAAATAAAAATCTCAATCTACATTATGAGCTGCAGCTCTCTGTCTTACAGAGATACCTGGTTGGAGAATTTTTGACAAAATAGATTTTCAATGAATTATGGTGTTCCATTGACATGTACAGTTATTGGAATTATTTTCTGGGGAAGAAAGATTGTTTAGGAATTGGCCTGAAACATGGGACATCCAGGAATAAGTCCATTCTTAACCTAAATTATAATAAATTAAAAAAGCCATCTGATATCATATTGGTGCTAAAGGGTTCCTTTGAAATATTTAAAATTAAAATGGGGAAATTACGTATTTTATTAGATGTATTTTTGTGGCTGCTTTTAGGCAACAGTTTGATCAAATCATATGGTCAGTTGTTACAGCTGGACTTTTCAAATAATCTTAAAACCTTGAATTTATATATAAATAAACCCACATATAGCTACATAGATCGTGGTTTAAATTTATAGCTGTGGAGATACAGCTCCATTTCCTTCTCTGGACACATCTGAACTATGTGAAAGAACACCACCTCCTAATTACTTGCCCAAAACATACATACAAGAATTTGCAGGGAATGGCTTGGACAACACTTTCACACTTCTGTTTCACAATAAGCATCACTTCAATTTGTATTTGCAAGTGTGTTTCTAGACACTGTTTATGTTTCCCTCTGGTCTTTTGCACAGAGTAAAGGGTAAGGTATTAGTGTACCCATTGCTGTACAAAGTATTTTGACTTGTGGTCTTGATTTTTTAAGCTTACATTCGTTCAGGAAACACTAGAGGTAATGAATTTTGCTCCCTTTCAAAGGAGCTTCAAAGGAAATATCAATTCCAACTCAAAATGCTTAATCATGTGGGAAAAAAAGGATTATGAGCTGAATACTTCAAGAGGCAGAGGCTGAAAAAGCATGTCCACTGTAATTCTTGCATCACTGCTTTTCATTTGTGAAAATACCTTGTCCCAGTCAGCCCATGTCCTGTAAAAGCTGTGCTTAGAGGAATATAAAAAGTGTGGAAATAAGTCTCCTTACCCTGTATTTTCATTTTAACAGTTCTTAATGCTTATTTTCACAGTGCATTGATAATATAAGATGCAATGGGTTAATGACAATAGTGTTTGAAGAAAACTCTAAAGTCACAGTGCCACATATGATCAAGTAAGTGCAACGTTTTCCCCCCCAGTGAACAAAATAGCTTGTTGTGTTTTTTTAATAAAAGTTTTAACAAAGAAAATGTGTTTTCAGAAAATAAAAGAGTTTAATTTATTTTTTCCCCAGTATTGTTGAATGGAATAAATTTTATATCCCAAAACATATGTTTTCAAATCCCTTTCTTGGAATGGTAGGGATCACTCAGAATGGTAAACTCCTAATTCATGGTGTTGGATCACAGCCTGGATTTTTCTGTTATTTGTGAAGTTGGCTTCAGTTATGCCTCAGATGAATGATTTTATTCTCAGATAGCTTTCCTCTGTCATACCACTCATAATTTTATTGAATATATTTTAAAATGCCTTGAGAATTTATGTGACTGAAGACAAGTGCCATTTTCCAAGGTATTTTGTTGTATTAGCCAAAGTTTATGTTTTCTTTTTTTCTGCTATTTCTGATAAAAAATTATTTTCTCTTGTAATTTTAAGTGATCACACTGAGGTAATTTTTCTTAAACCTGCCTCCTTCACCTTTAAATTCTTTCAGTTATTTATTGTAATAAATAATTTTTATTTCTAGAGAGCAATTTTCAGTACATGATTCCAAATTTTCAACAAAACTTTACCTCTCCAGTCTTCTATCTACCTCAATTTACATGAGTTTTGTCTACTGTTATCCAATATAAATATTAATGAATAAAACACAGGGATAGACAGATATCTATTTCCTTTCCTACTGTTATCTGTCACATCTCTTTGTTTCTCAAATGCCTCTTTTTTAGTTGTTTCCTCTCCTTTCTTTGTGCTTTGAAATGGGAAAGAGAAAACATCCATAAATAGACTGTTAGGGCACATACCTTTGATCCCTGGAAATAAGGCATTTTAAGGTCTTCAGGTTTATTCCAGGAAATCTCCAGTGTGTGTAAACACTTCTGTTACCTGCTAAGTCTTAAAAGTACATGACTACAGCACAATCTTAATCCCATTGTCAAGAGAATGAAATTTTAATTCTAAAAACCATACAGGATCTTAACAACAGACAAAACTTTGGCATTCTCTTTCTTAAATTTTACTTGTCTGATTTTCAGCACTGTGTTTCAGAGTCAAATGTCATTGAATGAAATAAAAAGACCTGCCCCATTTCTGAGGGCCTAACTTAAGAAAGAAGATATTTTATTGTTTCTTTTATGTAATACAGTGTAAAACTGTATAAAATACCTTGATATGTATTCTGAGAAAATGAAATAATTTTAATATAACAAGCATATTAAAAGATGCTTTACTTAGTATGCATCTTTTTTTTTTTTTACAAACTAAGCCTTCAGCTAGATAAAATTAAGCAAAATTGTATTTGAGGAAAAAAAAACATTCTGGGTAGGGTTATACAAATTATTTTTGTTTTGATGGCCAAGCAAAAATTGGTCCTTTTTTTCTTTCTCACTGAAACAAAGATTCTTCTTGGTTACTGCTTTGAAATTTGAGATCTTTCATGCTGTTCCCTCTTTATTCTTTTAAAACAAAAAGTAATTCTTGGAGCCTGAGGGCAGGTGTTAATTTGCAGGTGAGCCTTAAACTTAGCTAAGGGATTAATTTTGCTGCCTTCTGTTAGGATCCATTACTCTATTTTAGATAAAGCTTGATCCCGGCAGAAACGCATTGCAATCAGTTCACTATTATTCTACAGTGACATTCTACTAATATTGAACTACAGGCCATAGTAGCCTGAAAGAGACAAGAGGGGACCATTCTGCCCTCTGTTCCATTTCAGAAATTTATGCATCATTAATGGTTTCTTAGGCTTTGAATGTAAATTATTATCTACCAAAAATAAATTTTAAATTCTCTTAGTTATGGAAGCAGGTATCACCACGGATTAAGAGGTTTATTGCATTGATGAAATACAATAATATAAATATACTTGCCGCCTCTGTGTTGACAAGAGCAGATAAAGTCGTAGCGTTCCTTTGCCATAACCACTCATTGATAAAATGTTTTAAATTTGGGTTTTGTGTGTAGATCCGATGCTCGTCTTCATAGAGATGACATTGACATCTGCTTCAGCAAAACATTGAACTCGTGCAAAGTGCCCCAAATCCGCTACGCAAGCGTCGAGCGCCTCTTGGAACGACTGACAGACTTGAGGTTTCTGAGCATCGATTTCCTGAACACCTTCCTGCACACCTACCGCATATTCACTACGGCAGCTGTTGTCCTGGAAAAGCTCTCAGACATCTACAAACGGCCCTTCACCTCCATTCCAGTCAGGTAAGCAAGGGGGCTCCAACTTTATATCATACTTTTCCAAAAGAAATACCACGGTGTCATTTGTCATTTCCTTTGTGATTTTCTGCTTATTTATAAGAAGAAAGTTAAAAAAAGTTTTGAAGCAGAAACTTCTTCATTTGTAACAGCACATCAGTTTTTAGGTAAGTCTGTCTCAGTTTTTGTCTCTGAGGACTAAGTGTCACACAGATTTTGCAGTGCCATGCAGATTTGCACGAACTGTTTTCAGTTAAACTTGTTCTGTGTTTCTTGTTACCATGTGCTTATTTGTTTCTGTGTTTCTTACTCGCAGGTCTTTGGAGTTGTTCTTTGCCACCAATCAGAACAACAGAGGGGAGTACCTGGCTGACGGGAAGTCGCCACATCTCTGCCGCAAGTTCTCTTCTCCTCCTCCACTGTCACTCTCCAGGACTTCCTCACCTGCCAGAACCCGAAAGCTGTCCCTGACCTCACCCCTGAACTCAAGGATCGGTGCCCTTGACCTCTCTGCTTCATCTGTGGCCAGCAGTCCTACCTCAAACTACAGCCCGGCCACCTCCCCCCCACCTACGGGCAGCAAAGTGCCCCTGGACCTGAGCAAGGGGCTCTCGTCCCCAGAGCAGAGTCCAGGGTCCATCGAGGACAGCCTGGAGAACCCCCGCATGGACCTCTGCAACAAGCTGAGGAGGAGCATCCGCAGAGGTATTAAATACCCACAGAACACTGAGACCAGATATCCTGCCCTCTGGTTCTTCTCTAGTCAAGGCTGCAATGAGTTGTCTGATCCCACCGTTTGGTTGCTCCCTTCCAGAAATGGTAGTATGGCAAAATCATGGAATTATAGAATAGTCTGGGCTGGAAGGGACATACCACTCATCTAGTTCCAACCCCCCACACTTTGTCTGTTCTCACTTCAAGTGGAGTTTTAAGGAGAAAGGCGGAAGAAAATATTTGATGCCAGTTGTGTTTCTCGAGGTGAAAGATTTTTGAGTTATACCATTATTAGAAGTAAAAATATCAAGTTAAAAAGAAGGGATGTAAAGATCTTCAGCATGTTTGCACACACGGTTAGTTTTCCAGGGAGATTCTGTCACTAATCCAAATAAATAATTTATGTGGTGTGCTTGGAATACTGGTGACATTCACACCACCTGGTTGTTCTCCATCCAGAAGGTAGATCTAAAATAGATTAATTGCTCCTGTGCAAATGCCTCTTTCCTCTGTGGATTGTATAAGGCACCTTGGAACAAGTTTCACTTCCAGAGGGCTAAAGTTGGTTGAAATAAACCTCAGTGTATGCGTCTAGAATGGGATCATTGTATTTATAAATGGCAAAGCAAGAAAGTAGCTTCAATCTCATAGGAAGCATAAATGGGCATTATTTGTCCTTTAGGGATGGAGGAATGGTCTTTAGAATAGAAGCATAGAGAAATATTTTTCTATTGTTTCATTAAGTAGAAAATAACGCAATTAAAAAATGCTATTTTATTCCTAAAATTAATGTTCAAAAATGGTTGTACATAGCCTGATTTACAGTCTGAGAAATTTGATCTGTGAATATGAGCAAAATGTAGCCCAGTTTTAATTGCTGGTACTGTAACAACAAAAATTAATAAGAGGAAAGAAGAAAAGGATTACCAAACATAAACTAAGAAAAATATGATCAAAATGTTATATCTACTCCCTAATGATAAATTGAAACAAGTGCCCTGGTAACAAATTTGATGTTGCATTAGGAAGAGGGATTGTTTTTGCAGAATGTAGCCTATTGTTTAACAAAAAATCTTTTTTAACAGACAAGTGAGCCACCTTAGCATTACAGGAGTCTCTCTCTCTATAGGAGAGGCTTGTGTCATTGGAAAAATTTTGTGATTTTTGACCACAGGATGATTTACAAAACATCTGATTTACTGATGCCTGACAGGCATTTTTCCCCTCTCTGAGGGGAAAAAGGGTTCTAGCACAGGAGGAGGGTCAGGTTGGAAATCAGGAAAAGGTTCTCCCTCCCCTCCCAGAGGGTGGTCGGGCACTGGAACAGGCTTCCCAGGTCAGTCCCAAAGTATAGGCCCTGCATTAAAGTTAATCACAGACAGGTAACTGCAGTTGTAGGTGCATTGTTTTTTGCTAAACATTGTAGAGTGAACTGGTTAAGAACAGCTTGTTCTGGCCTCGTGTAAGCACTGGGCATTGTTGCAGAGTTATTCAGATTTTTCATTCTGGTCTGTCAAAGCTGGAGGGGTTACCTGGACAGCACGAGGAACATTTGGAAATGGCAAGGAGCTCATATAAATGCTAAATTGCTGTCTGAGCGGTGTCTTCCATTCCCTTGAGGATCTCCTGCTGAACAGCTTGCGCTCAGTTTGGAGGAGTTTGCATCTAGATAGCTATGTTCTGCGGGGGAGAGTCCTTTTGTCACCCAGCTGTATGCAGCATGAGGAAGATGAGTAAGTCTAAGAAAAATTCTCACAAGGGGAATGGAAATAGGTAATGCTGTTGCTCTGGTGCTACCAGAGTTCCAAGAAGACAACTATGACTTCCTCCAAATCCAGTACAACTGCACAAATCCTGTTCCACAGGACATGTTATTATGGTGATTGTTGTTCTCCCTGAATGTTGTCCATTTGCATGCTGGAATTCCTGCTTCTTCTCCCCCTTTCACACTTGCTTCCTTTCAAAGTTTTTATTTTTCCAAAGTTTTTGTTTATTTTTATATACACAATGCTCATGCTGCAGGCAGAGTTGTCATTCATATCAGAAGAAGGATATGTTTTATTGGCTTGTTTTCTCTCCTTTTGGAAGTAGCATTTCTTCCATTCCTTTTTTATTCTTCTGACAGAACAAATCCCCCATGGAGTAGTCTGCTCTCCAGTGCAGTTTGGCCGTTTTATTGGACAGATTTTGATTACACAGTTATCCAACAAGGATTATTTTTCCTAGCTCATACAAAATCTATGAGTTCAAGTATCCTTATGACATGTGCACATCACTGCATATTCTCCTATTTTTAAAACTGACACCTCGCTGGTTTTCACCTGGTTCTTTATTTATGAGATTTTACGTGTCTGTGTCATTGGTACAAAACTTTCCTGCTCCTTTAACTCTATTCAGAGGATAATTATGGCTGAGCTAATGGAAAAATTTCTTGGCAAGTTCAAGAAGCTGCACTGTTTAGAACAACTATAAACCCAAATTATGCATGATCACACCAGTATTGACATTTAATTCTCTTTTAAAGCAGCAGTTCTGGATTCTGTGTCAGTGGACAGGACTATCCCTGAGAGCACTTCAGTAGTGGACACCACAGAGCTTTCGCCATGCAGATCCCCTTCGACACCACGTCACCTCCGCTACCGCCAGCCAGGAGGTGAGAAACTGATGTGCCTCAGCTCTGTCAGTCACTTAAGAGAGTTAAATCACTGTGGCTGTAACCTTTCCAGGATATTAGAAAGCAGTAATAATATTTGAATAATCTGTTTTGCTTGTATTTTCTTTATTTCTCAGCTATTAATAATAATATTAAAAAAGCCATTAAAATGTGAAGTATGCCTGTTAAATTTGAGTATCAATAATGAGACTTGGAAGCTCAATGTTCTTAACTATCTCGAGCAGGATGTGCTTAGGTTCAGGACTAATACTGGATCAGTCCTGTTCTCACAGAACTCTCAAGACTTCGACAGATTTTTTTCAGCTACTAAGGGGGCATATTTTCGGCACCATCTGTAATCACGAAACACACAACAGCCATTGTTGTCAATGGGGAGTGACAGTGTCAATTTCTTTATATAACACTGAACATTTACAGATGGTGTCATATTATTCAATCCAAAATTTGAATAAAATGCTCAATTGAAGAGGAAAAAGCTAGAGGTGGAGCTCCTCAAATAGCTCTCACGTAGCTCTCTGAAATCATTAGCAGATCTGGGACCTGTGTCCATTTAAAATGCTGCCAGTTTCTGAGCCAAGTCTCTGGGCAGGTATTTTGTACCTGGGACTAAAACAAAACCAGAGCAGAGGCTTCTCACTTGTTAGTAAGTTGCTGAGACACTTTAGATTTAAATCAATAGCAATTTTCTGTGATTGAGCCTGTTTATGGCGAGATGGCAAGATTCTGGAGTTAGAAACTGTGGGCAACAGTGTTGTATTATGTGAGTACTAGTCAGAGACAATGTTTTCTACTCCCTCTGGAAAGAAGTTTGATGAATTCTGAAAAACTCTACTCATCCAGGGAAGCAATGAAAACACATGTGAATCTACTTGTCAGAAGCTGGTTAATATGCTTAGTTCTCTGACGTGACTTTTTGTTTAGGTTCCTTTTCTACTCTATTGTTTTTTTATTTTTGTTGTTGTTGGTTTTGTTTTGTGTGTGTGTTTTGTTCTTTTCTTTTTCTGTTTGGTTTAAATACTTGTTTCTCATCTCAGCAATGTCTTAGATATTGTTTCTATAGCAGCATTAATCATAGTGACCTGGAAAAAAAACTTAAACCACAAATATGATACTTTTATTGTCTTTAACATAAAGTCATCTGACAGTGAAAGCAGAAAGTGTTCATGAAGTATAAATGTTAATGAAGATTTTAAATCTTACTGTTCTTTAATGAAGAGTATGTGGAATTTAACTTTTCCCTGTCTTTTCCGTTTACAGTGCAAGCTGCTGATAACAGCCACTGCTCAGTTTCTCCTGCTTCTGCTTTTGCTATTGCTACGGCTGCAGCAGGGCACGGGAGCCCACCAGGTGAGAGAAGTGTGCTGTGTAAGAGACGTAACAGTGAGATACCTGGGTTCTCTAAAGCTAAAGATTTCTCAAGAACTTACCTGTTATGTTCTGAAGAATACATGCTCAGGTTGTATGGGGCTTGGAGCAACCTGGTCTAGTGGAACATGTCCCTGCCCATGGCAGTGGAGTTGGAATAAGATGATCTTTAGGGTCCTTTCCAACCCTATTAGTTGAATTCTTATAATTTGTCCTTAATATTTCTAGCACAGCCTACTACTGAAAGGTTAATATTTGGTGTATATGTGGTCTGCTAAACCTCTAGTTAGTATCTTCCTTGGTTTGTTTTTTTTTAATTCACTTACAATTTAAGATTTTTATTTTGAAAATGAGCATTTTTATGTCCAAGGTTGGTATATATAAGAGCAGTTTTACTTAACAAAATTATTTCAGGTGTGTACTGTATCTTCCTTGGAAAGCAGCTATGGTAGCCTACTGATTGGAGGTACTTAAAGCAACATAAAATACTTGATTTAAGTTTTGAATGTGTTTGCTGCCTTACTGTGTACCCTTTGACATACTGATATCTTCCACTAACCAAGTCCTGTCATGTTTCAAATAAAAAACTGCCTTAAAGTCTACAAAATCAATGTCACTTTGCCTTGACATGCTCAAACCCACAGTTCACTTTGATTATATGTGAAAAAGCACAATCTGATTGTAAATTCACACCTGTCTCTTTTCCATCGTAACCATTGGAATGACAAGAAACTGCTTTGAAGACCTCAGTCTCAAATTTACTCTTGAAATTCTGTGCAAGACAGTAAATCATCACCATAGATGTCAGTGGATTTTGTACTCACTGTGTCTGAAGTTGTGGTCATTGCTTGTTAAGTGAGAAAGCATCATGATAATTTCTGCAGAAGCATGGATTAGTGCTTTTGTTACTCCTGTGCACTTCCTGTGCTCTTTAGATTACAAGACAGTAATGTTCAGTTTTAGTAACTTTATCACAGAATCTCTGAGGTTGGAAAAGCCCTCACAGCCCATGGAGTCCACCCCGTGCCCAATCCCCACCATGTCCCACAGCCCAGAGCACTGAGTGCCATGACCAGTTGTTCCTTGGACACCTCCAGGGATGACGACTCCACCACCTTCCTGGCCAGCCTCTTCCAATGTCTAATCAGAAGAAATTCCTCCTAATATCCAACCTGAACCTCCTCTGGTACAGCTTGAGGCAGTTTCCTCTTGTCCTGTCCCTTGTTCCCTGGGAGCAGAGCCCAACCCCTCCCTGGCTCCACCCTCCTGTCAGGGAGTTGCAGAGAACAAGAAGGTCCCTCCTGAGCCTCCTTGTCTCTGGGCTGAGCCCCCTCCTCAGCTGCTCCTGGTGCTCCAGACCCTTTCCCAGCTCCGTTACCTTCCCTGGACATGCTCCAGTCCCTCAATGTGTTTCTTGTCTGAGGGGCTGTTACGACGCGCCCCAGGTAAAAGGGAGGGGGGTAACCCAGGTTTTATCAATAATTCCATTGGGGTGGATTAAAGTGAAAAGACACTAAATAATCGGTGTCTGAAAACATATACTGGCAAGGTTTATTTTAACAATTCTGTATCAACAGGTATGCTAGCATTTTGGGTGCTGTCATATAACAAGGCGAACCTTTTGGGGGAGGAGAAAAATGCATAGGGGAGAGAAAGACAGGGTAAGAGTAAGGGAGAGCAAGAAAAAAGAAAAGATGAGAGTGGTAAAAACGAATATAGTCGCTGCCCACTGGATCCAGCGATGTAAAAAGCAATGGTCTTGATCCGCAGGCAGTGGGGGGAGAAGAAAAAATACCCCCCAAACCCCCAAAGTCACCAGTCAATATCTATATCCTTTGCACCTCCCCCAAGGTGGGGAGTTGTTTTCATAGGGTGGTGTCCCCCTTTTTGGTGCGGAGTTCATGTGGAGGGTGTGGTAAACTCGGCTCTTCCTGCATGTGGAGGGTGTGGTAAACTCGGCTCTTCCTGCCTTTTCAGGGCTTGACATCTTCTCCAGCGGAGGAGGGGGGATGAGCCCAGTTGCCCATCAGAAAGTCAAAAGCCTGCAGAAGTCTCTTAGAATGCGTAAATCATTAACCATTTCAGTCTCTGACAGGGGCCCAGAACTTCCCCCAGCACTCAAGGTGTGGCCCCAGCAGTGCCCAGCACAGGGACGGGCACTGCCCTGGGCCTGTGACACACCATGGCTGGGACAGCACAGGGACCATTGGCCTCTTGCCCACCTGGGCACACCTGGGCTCATGTCCAGCTGCTGTCACCAGCACCCCCAGGGCCTTTTCCAGCTTTCCAACCCCTGTTTCCCCACCTGGAGTGTTCCATGGGATTGTTGTGACCCAAGGGCAGGAACTGGCACTTGGCCTTTTCCCTCACCCCGTTGGCCTCAGCCCATGGATCCAGCCTGTCCAGATCCCTCTGCAAAGCCTTCCTGCCCTCCAGCACATCAACACTCCCACCCCACCTGATATCATCCATGGATTTGCTGAGGATGCACTCAGTCCCCTCATTCAGATCATCAGTAAAGACATTGAACAGGACTGGACCCAGCACTGATCCCTGGGGGACACCATGAGTGATCAGACACCAGCTGGATGTGGCACCATTCCCACCACTGTCTGGGCTGGGCCATCCACACAGTCCTTAACTTGGGAAGATGCACCTGTCCAAGCCATGGTCTGCAGCTTTTGCAGATGCTGTGGGAGACAGTGTCAAAGGCTTTGCTGAAGTCCAGGTGGACACATCCACGTGTGTCCCTCACCCACTAAACGGGTCACCTGGTCATAAAAGGAGATCAGGTTGGTCAGGCAGGACCTGCCCTTCTTAAACCCATCCTGACAACCCATCACCTGGTTGTCCTGTACATGCCGTGTGATCACACTCAAGATGATGAACCTGTTGCAGACATTATTCAGTAATTTTTATTTGCCTTTGGAATCAGACACTGCCATAGAATCACTGACACATTTTGCTTTATGAGTTAATTCCAGTGTGTTTACTAATTGTCTGAAAAGCAAAATAAGAGTGAAAAATATGGGTTTTTTCCACTAGGAACCAATTAAATTAAAAATTACTGCTTTTGTATTGTTAAAATCACAGCTTTTCAATATTCATAACACTGAAGAAAGAGAGAAAATATGATCTACAATTATGCAGTCATTTGGAGGAATATCAAACATGGGAGCGCTGTGAAAGGGAAAAACAACATCCCTGATATTCATGAGCTGTTTTTTGTGTTGCTGTTTAAGGTAGTTCTTCATTCAAGGTCATTCTCCTAAGTGATGTAAAAAACAGTGAGAGGGTTGTGCAGCAGATTTGACAAGAAAATGTGTGGTGGGTAGTCTCAGGAGACTGAACTGGAGTAATCTGGTGTCCACCTGTAATCAGTATGAAAATTGAAGGCTACAAACCACAGTTTGAGCTGTTGAATCATCTGTTTTGTAACTTAGTGCAATTAATCATGATAGAGATGGTATTTGTTACAGAGTCATGAAGTTCAATTTTGGGTAAACCAAATAATTTTATTTATTTCCTGTGTATATGTCACCATGATTATGAGATTTTTCTTACATAATGCCTTTTTTTTTCCTTGTGGTCTCCTGTCTTATTCACTTCATAGGATGGAGATGATCACTCAGTGAATCAGTTCTGGGCAATGAATGAGATTTGTGAGGTTTCTTCCTTTTTTCAGTCAGTCCTTGGCTTCCCTGCTGCAGACATTCTGGTGTGTGCCATTTAATACACTCCTGCATGGAATATGAATATATGAAAATATGAATAGATGAAATTTAGTGTTAATTAATACTAAGTGATGCACACAAAGAAAAACAGTCTGAGCTCTACACCTGAAAGGATTGGCTCAGGACTGAGATTCTGAGGATGACAATAGGTTGTTTCCTTAAATGATCTTGGTACTCAGCAAGAGCCAGAAAGGTAAAGGAAACATCAGGAATTATTAGGAAGGGAAGAGAAAAGACTATTATGGTACCAGAGTATAAATCCAGAATTTGTGTAATGAATAGAAGCCTGGTGAGATTCTGCTGGGGAACACTGTGAAGGTTCAAAAGTGGACAGTTACCTGATAGGAGTCATTTGAGGTTACTAAACTGGCAAAGTAGAACAGGACCAGGATTTGAAATGAGTTGGAGGTTGTGGGAGAGTATTAGGAGGTACAAGTCACCTGTGTGTCTTCTGTTCTCACTGTTGCCTGAAGCCTTCTGGATGTTTTGTATTTTGGTAGTGTTGTTTTGTTGGGTTGTGGTTTTTTTTAGGGGCAGCAGGGGGGGAGGAGTTTGGTTTCGGTGGGTTTTTTAAATTTCTTTTAATTTTTTTTGTTTGTTTATTTAGTTGTTTGTTTATTTTGAGGAGGATTTTTGGGGATTTTCTTCTGGTTGTTTAATGCTGCTTTCCTGGGGTACGATGCCTTTAGCTCTTCTCAATTTCCCATCTCCCAGTTCTGACTGTTCAGGGATGCACTGAGGCAAGCAGGCTAACAGACTCACAGGAAGGCCCTGTAATTACACTCTGTTAGAACCAAACACGAAGAACATTTAATTATCTTCTGTGGAGAGTGCTGGCCATAACATTTTAGAATTGTCCCCATGCTATGACAACTTAGGTACTGATAATTATGCAAAGCCCTGAACAGCTCTCCCATAGTGTACCTTGGCTTTGCTTCTCTTTAGACAGAGGAGCACTGTGGTGGATGTTAACTGTGTATGAAACCTTTCTCTAAATCAGGATGGCTCAGGTTCTTATGCCCTTCAGCAGTTCTTTTCTAACTTACTGGGGTTTGTGCCATTATTTTCTGTTATTTTACAATGAACTGCTTTGATGATGGCAAGCTGTACTACCTGTCCATTGTTTAGTTCATCTGTCTGGTTAACTATTAATCTCTACATATCCTAGAGATGTTTTTGTCTATTCTCTTCCAAAAAATTTGTGTATTCATCATGGCTAGGCTTTGCGAACGAAGATTTGGGAAGGGC